ATAGAGAGAGAGAGAGAGAGAGAGAGTGTGTCATATATGTGTGTGTATGTATATATATATAAAACTCTGGTAGCGTAGTGGTTACGTAGTTCTCTTATGCTGTTGTTGTTAAGTGCCAACATCTGTTCCACTTTACAGCAACCCTGTATAGGGTTTGCGAGGAACAACTGGTGAGTTTGAACCACCGACCTTGCAGCTCAAACTGACCTTGCAGTCCAGCGCATTATCTTGCAGTCCTACACCAGGACTATCTCATATGGCATGATTTTATTGGATCAGTTTTTTGGAATTATGGCATTAATACTTTATATAATATAAAGTGTTATTATTTATTTGCTATTTCTTTCAGGATTCCTTTGTGGGACCATTTAATCGAAAAGCCCGCCAAGAGAGCATGAGGTATAATAATATGCTTAAACAACTTAGTAGTCAACAGTTAGCCACTCTGAGATGCTGGAAGTCTATACAGCTGTATCTGACATGTGAAAGGGGACCTTGGGCTGAAAGGTAGGAATATATAAGTCATTCATTGTCTTTTTTACTTAGAATTTAGAACTTTTTGAGCCAATGACCCCTTTGCTCTAATTTTCCTTTTAAAAGTTTAGTTTATAGAGCTCAACTAGAAGAAGAAAGAAGAGGAAAAAAGAGAGTAATCTGATACAGTTTGATAACTTGACCTATACCTATGGATGCAGTAGCTCAAAAGAGGGAACAAATCTTTGCAGCGAGGATCACTCCCACCCCCTCCATACACAGAGTAGACAGGAATGGGCAACTTGGACATTAGCTACCCAAAATGGGGGGGGGAGGGTAGGGCGTTACAAAGGCAAGAAGTGACTGACTTAACAAGCTTTCAAGAGGTAGTCTAGATCCAGAGGGCTTGGAGGAAGCTAGAATCTCCACTGAGTAGTATCCAATCTGTCTGGGCAGGGCTGATGAAAGGAGATATGGATAGGTGCCTTGTGGTACAATAGTGAATAATTGTTATCAGGACTGACTGCAAGGGTTGGAAATGTAAAGGTGGACGTTTTGTAGCAAAAGGAAGGGAGTGATTGACTATGCAGTCCAGGAGCAGAGCTATCTGGAACCATCAAGGGAGAAAAGTGGAGTGCGAGACTCTACCCAGAGAAGCAGTGACGTCAGAGATGGAGGCAGAGATGATGACGTGGAGAGATGGAGCAGCTGGGGACTCTAGACCCAGGGAGAAGAACTGTGTGCTGACGACAGGGGTTGATGATACGTGGAGGGGATTGTAACCATGGCAATGAAACGATATACAATAGATATACAATAGGATGAATGTAAAGCTAATGTTCTCCCATGTAAACTATCACATAATTCACAATAAAACATTTTTTTAAAAAAGATTATAAAAGAATGACTTCAATTAATATAATTTTCTTTGTGTGAGTTATGGGTCTGGGATATTTAGAGGTTTGTGTGTATACATATGCCATCATGCAGTTGTTGCCATTTGTTTTTCTCTATTGTGATAGAAAGTTTATTGGGCTCTAGACTCTTAAGTACTTTCTTTCTTTATTTTTTTAAGTTTTTATTGTGAATTGAGTGATAGTGTACATGGGAGAACATCAGTTTTACACTCGTTTCATTGCAATGATTGCAGTCAACTTCGTGCATCATCATTCAACAGTATTTGTTTCCATTCCCTCTGGTTTTTGTTGTGGGTGTGATAGATGTACACAAAAACACTCAGTAGTATGCAATAATTTAAACAATCAAAGGACACATTCTGCAAGTCTGCCTCCTAGTCACCAGCTCTCAGTCCCTCTCTTTCCATAAATCTAGAGTCTTCAGCTGTTCTCTCTCTCCATGTCCCCATCTCTGCCTCCATCTCTGGTGTCCCTGCCTCTCTGGATAGGGTTCTTACATACGTTTTGAACCACTTTTTTTCTGCTGCCTTTTGAGCTAAGGTTAGTGATAGCTACCACACCGTCTCCTCACTTACTATCTTATTATCAAACATTTCACATTTTTGACGATTGTAAAAAATCCAGTATCTGACTGTACATTAATAGTATGCATCTGACAGCAGTGACCACTGAGGTGTAAGGCTAGAGTAACACTGGCTGTGATGGTTAAAGTTATGCATCAACTTAGCTGGACTGTGATTCTTAGTGGTTTGGCAGTTAAATAATGACATAATTTGTCAGGTATCATTGATTTAATCATCCTCCATTTTTGTCATCTGATGTGATTATTCTCCATTTTTGCCTAATTCTATTGTTCACATAATGACATGGTCTTGGAATTTAACCTCGTTGAGGAGTGGATGTGTTTGTTTTAGTATCTTAAAAGCAACAGTTTAGCAGATTCTAAGGTCAGTTATGTTATGCTGGACTTTCTTGTTTTTAACTATTGTGTATGTAATACACATGAAATTTTCCATTTTAACCATTTTGAAGTGTATGATTCAGTGGCATTAAGTCTGTTCACTTTAAGCTGAATGTTTATGCAGTTGTTACCATTGTTTAGCTCCAGAACTTCTTTGTCATCTCAAAAGGAAATTCCATATTAAACTAGAGTGTCATCTTCCTCAGCTCTTGGCAACTAGGATCTGCTTTTGTGTTTGCTTATTATTCTTGATAGCTCATGTGATTTAAGTCATACAACATGTGACTTTTTGTCTCTGACTAGTTAACACTTAGTGGTTTCTAATTCATCCATGCTGTAGTATGTGTCAACACTTTCTCTTTATGGCTGAATAATATTCCACTGTAAGGAAATAGCCCACATTGTGTCATTTGATTTGTTTTCATCTTTTGGCTATTGAGAATGGAATGTCTATGAACATTCATGTATATGTGTTTTAAACGGAACCTGGTTTTAATTCTTTTGGATATACATAGAAATGAAATTGCTGAATCATATAATTGTTTGTTGAACTTGGTATCTCACTGAGGTTTTCATTTGCATTTCCCCAGTGACTGAGGGAGGGAGCATGGTTCTGTAGGATAAGCACTGGACTGCAAATCACAAGATCAGTGGTTCAAGCACACCAATAGCTCCATGGAGAAAATGAAACTTCCTATTCCCACAAAGATTTACAGTTTCAGAAACCCTGTACAGGGTCATGAGTTGGAACCGACTTGAGAGCATTAACAACAACAACAATGGATAATTGTTTTTAGTATATTTTTTCATATGCTTGTTAGCCGTTTGTATATCTTATTTGGAGAAATGTCTATTTATGTCTTTTTGCCCACTTTTCAGTTGGGTTGTTTTTGTTGATCTTGAGTTTTGTTGTTGTTGTTGTTGTTAATTGCTATTGGTTCAGTTCTGACTTGTATCGATTTTGTGTGGGGTTTCTGAGAAGCGACTGGTGAGTTTGAACTGCCGACTTTGTGATTTGCAGTCCAGTACTTATTCTTACAGTGCCACAGTAGGACTCCTGTTGAGTTATTGTTGTTTTTGTGTAGTGCCATTGAGTCAGTTCCAACTCATAGCAATCCTGAATTAGGGTTTCCAAGAAGCAGCTGGTGGGTTTGAACTGCCATCCTTGTTGTTAGCAGTTCAGTGCTAACAGGTCCCTTGTTGAGTTATAGGAGTTCTTTATGTATTTTGGATAATCTTTTCAGATACGTGATTTACAAAATCACCCATTTTGTAGGTAGTCTTTTCACTTTCAAGGTAGTGCCTTTTGATGCACACAAATGACTAATTTTTATGTTCACTTTACCTATTTTTTTTTTCTATTATTGCTATGTGGTGAGTTTCATGAAGATTTACTTCTATAAATTTTTCTAAGATTTTTATTATATTAGTTCTTCTTATACTTTGTTTTTTGCTCCATTTGTAGTTATGTTATTTTTATGTGTAGTAAAGATTACTTCATTTTGAAAACTACATAGGGAATATGTAAGCTCATTTGTGTAACTAGTTAACAGCTTCTACTTAATCAATAAATAAGTAAAAAGATCTCAAGCTATAAATCTGAGCACTGGGTGCAAATCTAATTTCTTTCTGCTACCTGTAAACCATGTGGTATCTTGGGCAAATAATTTAATCTTTTTTTTGCTTCCGATCCTTATCTATGAACTGCTTTTGTACATACCCACTATGGTTTTTCTCAAATGAGATAATGAGTGTGCTAGTTTGTTGTTTTCGTTTTTTTAACGGTGCTAAAACAAATATAAAGTATTTGGTAATTTTTACATAGCTTTATTCGTTTACTTATAAATATTCATAGGAAGCAGAATCCAATTCACTGGAAACTAGCGAATGTAGAAAATTACTCCCGCATGAGACTTAAATTGGTGCCGAATTATAACTTCAAAACCCATGAGGAAGCTAGTGCCTTGAGAGATAATCTAGGTGAGTTCTAATGACTGTTTAATTAATTGTTCAGTAGACTGAGGGTGTTGATGGGGTTGGTTATTATTATTCTATTGTGTATGATGTATGGAAGGGAGTAACATTTTACAGTTGATGTTTAATTAGTTGTATGTGTTCAATGCTGAAACATTTGGCTTAAATCTAAGATTATGGTACATTTCAATTGATTATAATTTTTCAAAGAAAAAAATTAAATTATAGAATTATACTATACTTCATATGAATTTTGCTGTATCACTTGCATCCGTTATGGTATAGTGAAACAAAGTCCTCTTGCCTTAGATTTGGTCAAGACTTGTTGTTGTTAAGTGCCATTGAGTCGATTACGACCCATAGTGACCCTGTATAGGATTTCCAAGGAGTAGCTGGTGAGCTTGAACCGCCGGCCTTTCAGTTCAAACAGCTTTACAGTCTAGGGCGTTAACCCACAGTACCACACCGGGACGCCTGGCAAAGACTTAGGCTAATGTTAATTGTAGAATTCTTAAACCATTATACCTTTCTATTATAACCTGCTCTTATAGAACTCTAAACACTTAGTATTGTAGATGGACCCATGTCATTTTCTGACATATAATTCTTAAAGTTACATATTAGCAAGGTTTCAAAACAAATTGTAGTTTTTGTTGTGTTTTACCCTTTATATTTTGACAAATCTTTAGGTCATTTTTTCCTTTCTAACTTTCTGACTTGCCATCTCTCTTGTTTTGAAGACAGATTTCCTAAATACCCCAAAATCTTGATTGTCAAGAGTCATTAGAAGTTATGTTTACCAATTATAGCTCTTATACCATAGATACCAGACAACTTATGTTCAACGAGTAGGTCAAAGATGAAATAACTAGAAGTTTTAAACTAACTTTTTAAAAATACTTCAATACACTGGCTAATGTAATTGATGCCATAAAATTAATTAAAAGATGCCAACCATTTAGGGTCTTGCATTAACAAATAAATCAGAATAAATGATTTTCTTTAATTAAAATACTGACCTTGACTTTGATACAAATATAATTATACTAACCATTGCCATTGAGTTGATTCTGACTCTGAGTGACTCGATAGGACAAAGTAGAAATCCATAGGGTTTTATGAGACTTAAGTTTTACAAGAGCTGACAAGCCTCATTTTTCTTTTTTAGTGAGTCTGGTGGGTTTGAACTATCAATCTTGCTATTAGCCCAGTGCTTAACCCACTGTGCCACTAGTGCTCGATAACAATTACATTAAAGTGTGTTTTATGTAGGAACAGCTCATGGTGTTCATCATCTTCCTATGTATACTCAGTGACTGTCATACTTTGTCTACGCCCTCTATATTCTTATCATCTAAAAGAAATCTTTTAGTTAACAACTTCAAGTATTTAAGGAACTTTGTTTTATTATTTTTAAAACTTTTTATTGTGAATTGAGTGAAGGTTTACAGAGTAGATCATCACTTTGAGATTCAAAAAGGCATATACTTTACTTCATTACATAATTACAATCCCCTACATACCTCAACAGTTATCAGTATTTACATCTATTCACTTTAACTATTGCGTTCCTACCTGTATCTCGCACTACCTTCATCTTTCCTCTGCTAGCCTCTCTCTTGTTGTACGTTGTTTGCCTTGTCACTCATATTAACATATGTCTATTCACTAGCCCAAGGAGCTCTGGTAGTATAGTGGTTACAAATCAGGCTGTGAACCGCAAGATCAGCAGTTCAAAACTACCAGCTGTTCCATGGGAGAAAGATGAGGCTTTCTGCTCCCGTAAAGATGTATAACCTCGGAAACCCTGTATAGGGTCGCCACTATGAGTCGGAACCAGCTCCACAGCACTTAACAACAACAACAACATTCTCTAGCCAAGAATAATATTTACAACATTGGTCTCATACAATATTTGTTATTTTGTGATTAACTAATTTCACTCAGCGTAATGTCACAGATTCATCATTTTTCTGCAATATTTTGTAGTAATACATTGTGTGTAGGTACCAAAGTTTGTTTAACCATTCATCTATTGATGGGCATTTAGGCTGTCTCCATCTTTTTGGTATGTCTCTTGTAGACAACATATTGAAGAATCCTGTATTCTTACCTAGTCTGCTCTTTCTGTCTCTTGACTGGTACCTTTAATACATTTGCATTCATTGTAATTATCAATAGATAATGAATTGATGTCATTTTTCTGTGTGTGGTTATTTTGGTGTGGTACTGCAGGATTCTTTGTTCCATCTAATTTTCTATGCTAAGTTCACCTTGTGAGTTTTCTTCTCATTTTCATTTCTGTGGGAGAAAGATGTGGCAATTTGCTTCTGTAGAGATTTGCAGTTTTTTGAAGATACAGGGCAATTCTACCCTGTCCAGCAAACCATGAGTTGGAATTAACTTGATGCCAATGGATTTGGTTTTGGGTTTCTATATATATCAGAGTTACTTATTAGTGCTCCAGAAAAGAACAGCGCAACCATTGGTCTACATCTTATCTTCCAGTTAATGACAAATTGTCACATTACTCTTTCTTAGTGTTCCTTTGCTATAAATATATTCTAAAAATAGTTCTGTTTTATTCTGAAAATCAGAATAATGCATCTTTGCCTTAATTTTTGAGATGCTTTAAAATTTAATAGAATCAAAGAAAGTACAACATCTATTTTGGGAAAAAAATATTAAAACTAGATACCATGGTTTACTTCTTTTACAAATGTATCATAGTTTTATGAGTCGCTATCAAGCATCATAAGTTATTTTAAGTCATATTTTAAAACTTTTCTATAGTAAATCACTTAACTTTTTAATCTTAGAAAATTTCAAGATAAGTACCTCTTCAATTTGTAATATAATTTTATTATATTATTAACATTAAGAAATTCTACTAGCACTATAACATAGTTTTCTCTCACTTAGTGTTTAATAAATACTTGGTGTTTGAGCAGGTATCCAGCACTCACAGCCTTCCAGTGACTCATTGCTTTTGGAAGTCGTGAAACAAGTGAAAGTTAATGATATGGAGGAAGATAAATTAGACCTTCCTGAGGATGACATTACAGCCAGAGTGAATATGTATGTATAATAAGTATTTGAAAAAAATTTTAAATGATTGCTTCTGAGATAAGGGCTTGTGAAATTTTTGAAGAGATTTGCTTGAGATTATAATGCCATGTAAAGAAACGGTTAGGAGTTTATATCTTTGTAACCTGGATTAGTGAGAAAAAAATTTTCAGGAAAGAATTTATGGAACATCTAAGGCATATTGAAGAACAGACAGTGAAAGCCCAGAGAGAATAGATGTGTAATAAGAATATTAATGGTTTACATTCAGAAGACTCCTCAAGTAAAGGAATATTAAAGAATTTAAGGAAGATAAAACATAAAAAGTATAGAGCATCCTTATCAAGACGTAATTTCACATCAGTCATCTTTAAGGCAAAGGACACTCAAGGTTTGTTGTTGTTGTTGTTTTCATTTCAAATAAAGCTTTCCCAGGCTGTCTTAAAATATATGTGTTTGTTGTAAATCCTAACCTATGCCTGTGGTATTATAATTCCATTTGGGATTAGGTTGTCTTTGTTATGATAGTGAGGCAGGGCTTGGATAGGATGTGTTTTGAGCCAATCTCTTACAAGGTATAAAGGAAGCATAGTAAGGAAGCAAGGTGGAGAAGATAGATGTCAAGCCAAGCAACATGGAGATAGCCCCAGAACCAGGAACAAGCTAAAGAGATAAGTACCTTCATCTAGAGACAACAGAGAAAGAAGGAGATAACAATGTTAATTTGGACTTCTTCTAAATTGTGAGAAAATAAATGTCTTTATTAAAGGCCACCTATTTGTGGCATTTCTATTATAGCAGCACTAGATTACTTAGGTGCACCTGCCTCAGCCATGGTATTTTCAGTAGCTTCATACCCCCCGTGGATTGGTGCATTGACAGTAGCAGTGGACTCAGGCATAACAACAATTGTGAGGATAGTTCAGGAACAGGCAGTGTTTTATTCTTTTCTGCATAGGGTCACTATGAGTCTGAACTGACTTGACAGTACTTAACAACACAGATAACTAAGGCAGAATTTGATATTGGAAGAGTCAGGTACTGCTCTAACAGATAGCTAAAACATGCAAGCAGTCTGGAATTAGGTAATGAGTAGAGACTGCAAGACTGTTACAGTGTCTAACACTAAGGGCAAAATACAGAATGATACAGAAAGCATCAAAAGATGGAGGGTATACACAGAGTCACTGTACCAAAAAGAAATGGTTGATGTTCAACCATTACAAGAGGTAGTATATGATCAAGAACCAATGATAGTGAAGGAAGAAGCCCAAGCTGCACTGAAGGCTTCTGGAATTGATGGAATACAAATTGCAATGTTTAAACAAACTGATACAGCACTGAAAGCCTCACTCACTCATCTATGCCAAGAAATCTGAAAGACAGCTACCTATCTGGCCAACCAACTGGAGAAAAATCCATGTTTGTGTCCATTCCAAAGAAAAGTGACCCAACACAATGCAGTAATTATTGAACAACGTATCACCACTCACCCACTGCCATTAAGTTGATTCTGACTCATAGTAACCCTATGTAGAATTTCTAGTGCTGTAAATCTTTACAGGAACAGAAAGCCTCCTCTTTCTCCCACAGAGTGGCTGGTGGATTTGAACTGCTGACTTTGTTGTTAGCAACCCAATGTGTAACCCTCTCTGCCACCAGTGCTCATTAATACCACATGCAAGTAAAACTTTATTAAAGATAGTTTAAGGCAGCTCTCCAAAAATAAAAGGCCAATAAGTGCATGAAAAATGCCCCGTTTCTTGTCACGGGGAATGGTAGAATGGTGATGCCCTAATTTAAATTAGTGCTTCAATAAATATTTTCAAAATGCCATTGAAGTGCAGATTTCTATTAACAGATTCATGTATTTTCTAGGCCATACCATGTCTCCCAAAATATCTCATAAAATAACATGACTAGTACTGCTGCTCTGGTAGCATAGTGGTTACGAATCGGGCTGCGATCCTTAAAGTCAGCGGTTTGAAACTACCAGCAGCTCCGCGGGAGAAGGATGAGGCTTTTTACTCCCGTAAAGATTTATACCCTCGGAAACCCTGTACAGGGTCACTATGGGTCGGAAATGACTCGATGGCACATAACAACAACAACAGTACTGCTGCATGTTTGACCTCTGGCAGTACTACTTAAGTCTTTACTATAGTTTATATTAATTGTTGTTGTTGCTAGATGGCATTGAGTCGGTTCCGATTCATAACAACCCTGTATAGGAGTTCCGAGGAGCAGCTGGTGGGTTTGAACTGCCAACTTTGTGCTTTGCAATACAATGCTGATCCTATGATGCACATCAGGAGTCCATAGTTTATATTAATAGGCAACATAAATGAAAATGTAAAGCATTTTTATGAAACTATTTTGTAATAAAAAATATGTAGACAATATGTGGGAATTCAAAAAGTTCATGGAAAATGGAATTAAGAGATAATGAAATTTTTTTCATGAACTTTTTGAGTCCCCTTGTATTTATATAATTTAAGATACACTAGACTATTTCTTGTAGGTAATTCAAATATTCTTCCTTGGGCAATTTTTTTACAGACATGATATTTATTTGAATATGGTATTCTTTCTATTTAAGCAGAATATAAATTATTGGGGTGTTTTTAGTTTATTTGTTGTTGTTTTCTACAGTGACGAGCAAGAAGAACAAGATCAAAAAGAAAAATTGGTGTTGATAGAAGACTGTGAACTTATTACAATAATTGATGTAATTCCTGGCAGATTAGAAATCACTACTCAACACATTTACTTCTATGATGGCAGCATTGAAAAAGAAGATGGTGAGGAGTTCTGTGAGAATATATTTTGTTGGTCAGTAATTAGGTTACCAGTTTCTGAATCATGGATGAGAAGGAAAGCAGTAAGACAAGACGATGAAAATGTAGTTGTCTATGTAAAAGGAGAAATTGACATTTAGTATAGGGTTAAATTTATCATTTAATAATGTATTGAAGGAAATGCTTTTATTTTTTCTTATTAATATGCTTTAAAAGATTTGAGGGCATCACTATTAACATATGAAATATAATCTTAATGCATACTTTTCATGCATACTTATTAGTATAGGTTTCTTACCTAATCCTTTATGTAAGTATGATTAAATTTAAGATGCCAGCATAAAGCAAAAGTGGAAAATATGAGATGATAATATTCAGATTTACTCTCTAGTTTCTTTGTAAAGCAGAATAGCTATAGAATTTTTTTTAAATAATAAAATACAATTTAAACATCTAGTAAATTTAGTAAATGTTTTTATGACATAGAAATTGAATTCTTTTTCTCATGTGCTACTTTTGTCAGCAATTGGAGATATTTCCTGCATAATACAAGTAACTTTATTTTTTATTTTATTTTATTTTGTTTTTTAACTTTTTCATGTGCGTTGAGTGAACTTTAACAGACAAGATCATCAGCTTTACATTCAACAAATCATGTACTTTGTTTCATCTCAGTGGTTACAGTCTCCTCTGTGCAACAATTATCCTACTTCCTCCCTGTGCTTTCCCTTTTACATCTTATATTTCACAAATGGATAAAACAGAAATATTTGATGTACACATTCAAAACAAAAAATATTCATTTAAATGTCCTAAGGGTATATTCTGCAAGGCATCCTCCTGCCTGCAGGCACAGAGCCTTTACTCAGTCCATGGGCCTAGAGCCCGCAGGTGTTCTATCTCTCCATGTCATCACCGCTGCCACTGTGCTGTCTTCGCTTTTCTAGGTAGGATCTCACATTCCACTCCTGCTCTTTCTTCTTGATGGTTGTGGGATCCTCTGTTCCTGAAATGATTTATTCCCCTCTTACAGTTATATATCTTCTATAATTACAGTTGTAACAAACACAATTAATCCTACTAACAATTACTCACAATTGAATCATAAAATTCTATCAGAATCATACCCCATCCCCTTTTTACCAGAGCCATCTGGAAGAGAGAAAAACTATTCTTTGGGGATGGTGCCTTACCCTCTTCATTCTGAAACTAAGCACACTCATGAAAGGTTGTAGGCCAGCCACTTCATGCCTTTATAGCGCCCCCCCCCCCATTTTTGATAACCAATGTTTAGATTGCCCATCTCTATCTTCCCAGTGCACTGAGTAAACAAGCTTGTTACTTGATATGAAGACTCCTTCCATTGTATTTGGAATTGTGAGCGACTGCATCCATAAACAAAGTTCCAGTTCATCAAATTGTAGCGGTTTATACTTGCTCACAGTATCAAGCATCTTTACTTCATCTGGTCAAATTCTGATCAGCTAGCCATCCAATCTAGGTTAAAGGGTACTAGCTGCAAGTTTGGTAGTTCATGCACACCTCCTTGCACTTCAGACCACCTGGCCACTTCACTCAGCTCTAGCCCCAAGTTGCTAGATCAGTGCCCATGAACTACGGAGTTCACATATATCCCTTCAGACCAGCCAGGCTTTCCTCTTCTCTCTCATCTGTGAAACATGGCCAAACTCAGCTCATGTCTTCATTGCTGCATTTCCCCCACTTCCACTTACAAGTAGACTCAGGTGATTACCAGCAAACATAGTATATGCTTGTAGGTCCCCTTTGAGTTTCATTCTTAGAAGGCAGTTTTCCCTGATGGGCTGACTTTTCTATAAATAACTACATGGCACCTGAATCACAAGATTTCTTCTGTTTTTAGGAATAGGTTTTGATTTCAAGTGGCCTCACTCACAAGTTCGAGAGATCCACCTGCGGCGTTACAATTTAAGGAGGTCAGCCCTTGAGATTTTTCATGTCGACCAATCCAACTACTTTCTCAATTTCAAAAAAGAGGTGTGTAAAATGCTAACTTCTTGGAAGCTCTTGAGTGTTAGCTTGAAGTACTGCCCAAGCTAATGAACTCTAACAGAACTTTAGATTGTACTCTGGTCAGGTCAGAATATTAGATGAAAAATGTATATCTAGGGGTATGAGTGTCATATGAATTTTAGTTGGGGTTTATATTTGATTGTTGGGAGGGGAACTATGGATAGAAGAGCTATATCAAGTAAATTGACTGTCGCAGTTCTACACTGGGTGGCTAGGAGTCTGAACATACACACACACACACTAGGGTGAGTCAAAAGTTTACTGCACTCTGGCTGTAGAATTTATTTTAATCAGCTTTTAGAAAAGACAAATACATCATTTTTCAACATAATCACCTTACTTTTCAGTATACTTTGTCCATGTGTCAACAAGCTTTTGTATTCCCTTATTCAAAAATGCTTTCAGCTGAGCTGTGAGCCATGAATGAACCACTCTCTTCACTTCTTCATCAGAGGTGAATCTTCATCTTTAAAGGGCTACTTAAAGGGGACCAAACAGGTGAAAGTCTGATGGAGCAAGATCAGGATTTTAGGAAGGATGCCCTTACCATCACAAAATGAAGTTTTTGCAGAGTATCAGAAGTTCAGTCAGAGGGGTGTGTGCAGACATGCATTGTCATGCAAGATCACAGCACCCTTGGATAGCAGTTCTCTGTGTTTAATCTGAAGTTTAGGCTTCAGCTCTTCAGTGAACATCTCACTGTAATGAGTACTGTTGATTGTTGAACTTTTCTTGATAGTGTTCCAATACATGAACTTTGAGAATCCCAGAAAACTGTAAACATCAATTTTCCAGCTTATGGTTGACTTGAACATTTTCTTGGTTGGCAATTGAGGATGTTTCCATTCATACTTCACCAATTACTTTCAGGCTCCTACTGACAAATCCATGTCTCCTCACCAATAAGATTTTTTTACAGAAACTTTTACCTTCCTTGGAGTATTGGTCCAAATTTTGTTTGCAGCTGGCTACGCTCACCCTGAATGGTAAGTGCTGATAAGACAGTGCAGCCAATAGAAATTTTAATATATAACTGAATGTGGATACTTTTTGACTCACTCTTGTGTATGTGTGTTGTGTCGTCAAGTCAGTTCTGACTCATCAACATACACACATACATGTATTATGTATGTATATGTGCGTGTGCACACACACATATACATAAGGGTGAGTCCAAAATTATCCACACTATTTATGTTAAAACTTCTGTTGATTGCAGTGTCTTATCAACACTTTCCACTCAGAGTCACTGCTGTGCAGGTGTGAGCATGGCCATCTGCAAACAAAATTTGGACCAATACTCAAAGGAAGGTAAAAGTTTCTGTAAAAAAAATAATTGTTACTAGTGAGAAACATGGATTTGTTACTATGAGCCTGAGAGTAAACAGTAGAGTATGAAACGGAAACATCCTCAATCGCTGACCAAGAATATGTGTGTGTGTATATGTATGTATATGTATATATGTGTGTGTGTATATATATGTATATATGTAGATAAAGAAGGCATCTCATAATGAGTCTTAGCCAATTAGGTGTCTTACATAGAGTATCAGATTTTGATGTAATATTCCATATATATGATACAGTTGTATTTATGAAAATTTTCGTTGATAAGTACTGTCGAGTTGATTCTGACTTATACGCAGAGCAGAATAAAACATTATCTGATCCTTACAGTTGTTGTCACATTTGAGCCCATTGCTGCTGCCATGTGTCAGTCCATCTCATTGTATGTATGGGGGGGCGGTCTTCGTTTTTCATGAATTCTGCATTTTACAAAGCAAGATGTCCTTGTCCAAGGACTTTCCCTCCTGATACTATGAACTATGAGAAAAGAAGTCTCACCATCCTGGCTTCTAAGGCACATTCTGGCTGTACTTCTTTCAACACAGATTTGTGTGTTCTTCCGGCAGTCATGGTACTTTTAATATTCTTCTACAACACCACAATTCAAATGCATTGGTTCTTCTATGATCTTCCTTAATCACTTTAAACTTTCACATGCATATGAAGCTGTTGAAAATACCATGGCTTTCATAAGGCGAACCTTAGTCCTTTAACTGACACCTTTGCAGGTTAACACTTCAAGCAGATCTTGTGCAGCAGGTTTGTGTAATGTAGTATGTTGTTTGATTTCTTGACTGCTGCTTCCATGAGTGTTGATTGTGCAGCTAAGCAAAATGAAGTCTTTGACAACTTCAATCTTTTCTCCATTTATCATGATGTTATTTATTGGTCCAGTGTTGAGGATTTTTGTATTCTTTATATTGAGGTACAATCTATATTAGAGGCTACAGTCTTTGATCTTCATTAGTATTTTAAGTCCTCTTGTCTTTAAACTAGCAGGTTGCATCATCTGCATATTTCAGATTGTTAATGAGTCTTCCTCTAATCCTGATGCTACGTTCTTCAAATAATCTAGCTTCTAAGATTATTTGCTTGAATTATTATTCTCAGATTATTTTCTTCAAATAATCTAGCTACTCAGATTATTTGCTCAGATTGGGTAAGTATGGTGAAAGGATACAACCCTGGCACACACCTTTTCTGATTTTAAACCTTTCAATATTCCCTTGTTCTTTTTTGACAACTGCCTCTTTTTCTATGTACAGATTCCCCAGGAGCACAATTAAGTTTTGGAATACCCATTCTTCACAGTGTTACCATGTTTGTCATGATCTACAGAAACAAAAGCCTTTGCATAGTCAATAAAGCACAAGTAAACATCTACTTTCAGACAAGATTCATTTGATGTCAGCAACGATATCCCTACTTTAACATTCTCTTTTGAATCTAGCTTGAATTTCTAGCAGTTCCTTGACAGTGTACTGTTGAAATCATTATTAAATTATATTCAGCGAGACTTTACTTGGTGATAATACTGATATTGTTAGATGATTTTAGCATTCTATTGGGTCACCTCTCTTTGGAATGGGCACAAATAAGGATCTTTTCCAATTGGTTGGCCAGGTGGTTGTCTTCCAGATTTCTTGAGGTAGATGTTAGCACCTCCAGTGTTGCATCAGTTTGTTGAAGTGTTTCAGTCTGTATTCCATCAATTCCTGGGGAGCCTTAGTTTTTGCCAATACCTTCAATGATTCTTGTATTCCTCCCTTCAGTACCATTGGTTCTTGATCATAAGCTATACCTCATGAAATGGGTGAGTATCAACCAATTCTCAGTAAAGTCACTCTGTTTTTCTTCCATCTTCTTCCTGTCTGCATCATTCAGTATTTTGTCCATAGAATTCTTCAATATTACAGGTTGAGAAGCTTGAATTTTTTCTTCAGTTCTTTTAGTTTAAGAAATGGCTGATCGTGTTCTTCCGTTTTGGTTTTCTAACTCCAGGTCTTTGTACATTTTATTATAATACTAGACTTTATTTTCTCAAGCTATTTTTGAAATTTTCTATTTAGCTCTTTTACCTCCTTAATTTCTTCCATTTGCTGTAGCTTTGCTATTCTCAAGAACGAGTTTTAGAGTCTCTCTGGCATCCATTTTGGTCTTTTCTTTCTTTCCTGTCTTTTTAATGACCTTTTGCTTTCTTCATGTATGGTATTCTTGATGTGATGCCACAACACTTCTGGTCTTTGGTCATTAGGATCTAATCTTTTGAATCTGTTCTTGAAATGGTCTCTAGATTCAAGTGGGATATGTTCAAGGTCATCTCTTGGCTTAATTGCTTTAATTTTCTTAAGCTTTAGCCTGAGCTTGCGTATGAGTTGTTAATGGTCTTTTCCACAGTTGGCCCCTGGCCTTCTTTTGGCAGATGGCATTGAAGATTCACCTGTCACCTTCACAAATGTAGTGAATTTAATTCCTGTGTATTCCATCTAGTGAGATCCATATGTACAGTCACTTTTTATGTTGTTTGCAAAATTTTGTCATGCAATCTCCAGAGCTATTTCTATCACCAAGGGCATGTTTTCTATCTACTGATCCTTCCCTTTTGTTTCCAACCTTTGCATTCCAATCACTCGTAATTACAGTGTTCTTTTGCTATTCATAATGTATAGCAAATTAGGTTTCCATTTAACAATTTTTATACAGATTTTTCCATGACATTGGTTACGTTTTTTTACAAAGAGTCAAAATTCTCATTTTTTTATTGTTCTGTGTCCATTAGTATAGCTTTCCTGTTCCTCCTTTGCTGTTGTTGTTAAGTGCCATTGAGTCGGTTCTGACCCATAGCAACCCTGTATAGGTTTTCTGAGGAACAACTGGTAAACTTGAACCACCAACCTTGCGGTTCAAACAACTTTGCAGTCCAACGCATTAACCCACAGCAGCAGAGTGTCATTTTTATTTTAGAGTAGATGTTGACTGTTTGATCTCATGTAGTTTAAGGAAGCTCAGTACTTCGTAACTGAGGTTATTTAGATGAATGGTGACCACTGAGAGTGAGTGACTTCCAAGTTCTAAGTTCAGATTGTATCTTAGGATGATAGTTTCAGATATTTGTCTGGTCTTTGTCTTTTAATTGTGGCATTTTATTTTTTTAGGAATTTGAGTTTCGTTCTACATTTTCCTCCCTTTTTATCTAGAACCTCCTATTGTATATCTGGTGAGAATTGTCAATAGAAGTACCCAGGCACCATCCATTTTCTGGTCTCAGGCTAGATGAGTGTCATGTAATTTTCAAAGTATGTTTGTATGAAATACCTATTCTTCACTATAAACATCATTCATTTTTTTTATAGATGAGAAAATTGAATCTCATTACTTTTCATATATATAGTGGTTGATGGTTTTGCACCGACTCATAGCTGCCCTGTATAGAGTTTCTAAGGTTGCATATCTTTATGGAAATAGAAAGCCTGATCTTTCTCCCGTGGAGAGATAGATGGATTCGAACTGCTGACCTTGAGGTTGGCAGCCCAACTCATAACCCACATTGCCATATTGTTAAGTGTTGTTGGACTGGTTCTGATTCATAGTGACTCTACATATGGTTTCTGAGGCTTTGAATCTTTGCAGGAATAGAAAGCTTCTACTTTCTATTATAGTAGCTCTGGTAGCATAGTGATTATGAATCGGGCTGTGAACCGCAAGGTCAGCAGTTCGAAACTACCAGCTGTTCCACAGGAGAAAGATGAGGCTTTCTGCTCCCATAAAGATTTACAGCCTCAGAAACCCTGTACCAAGGTCGCTATGAGTCGAAACCGACTCCACGGCACATAACAACAACAACAACAACTTTCACACATAGAGCAGCTAGTTGGCTTGAACTGCTTGCTGGTCTTGTGTTTTGTAGTCCATTGCTTATCATATGGATCCATAATAGATGTGAATAATTCATATTCCTGAGGATAAATATTTACAAGTGAAACTCAGTAAATTAAATGATGTATCAACATGGTTAGTAAATGGTAAAACTGAATTTGGACTAGACTTAAACAGTATTCTGATTTAAAGTCAAATGATATTTTTAGCACATAACTTTTTCTAAAAATAGACTCGTGTAGTATAGAAGTGAACACTATAATTCGATCTTCCTATTACATAACTTTTTCTAAAAATAGACTCGTGTAGTATAGAAGTGAACACTATAATTCGATCTTCCTATTACATAACTTTTTCTAAAAATAGACTCGTGTAGTATAGAAGTGAACACTATAATTCGATCTTCCTATTACATAACTTTTTCTAAAAATAGATTAATACAGTATAAAAGTGAAAACTGTAATTCGTCATTAATTTGAAATGTCCAGAATAGGCAAATGCATTAGAGACATAAGGCAGATTTGGGGTTGCCAGGGAATGAGAGGGAGGGGGAATTGTCGAGTGCCTGTTAATGTGTATAGAATTTCTTTTGAGGAGAATGAAAATGTTCTATAATTGTGGTAATAGTTGTACAACTATGTGGGGATATACTAAAAACCACTGGACTTTATATTTTCAAAGGGTAAATTTTATTGATATGTGAATTATATCAGTAAATCTGTTGTAGAAACCATAGCCAAATTTATCTTGATGAATTTTTATGATATTAAATGCTATTTTTTATAGGTTAGAAACAGAGTCTATAGCAGACTGTTGTCACTTCATTCTCCAAACAGTTATGGCACCAGATCACCACAGGAGGTCTTCAAAGCCTCAGGATTGACTCAGGTGGGAAATTTTATAGGCACTGTGCTGGTGTTCATTTTTTATCTCAGATTTTTGCTTAAAAGTAAAACATGCCTTTTCTGATTATTTTATTTTGATTATTATAACTAGTATTTTCCCCTTCATATTGGCCTTTTGAATTCTCTTTGAATCATGCTTTGTTCCCTTCACACACAGTATCTCCCCTCTCCCATGCCATTCATTTCATACATATGGCCTATGGATTCTTTGTCTTTAATGATTTTCTTTTTTTTTTTTTTAAAGTAATGTGCTTTCTTTATTAATAATAATAAAAGATCATGTACAAGATCAAATTCAGGAAAATATTTGTAATGCCACGGGAAAAAAGCAGATACAATTCCCAGTGTATATTTTTTTCACCTATATCCCAGAATCAATGAAGTTTGCACTGCAAAAAGCCAAGTGAAAACTATTGTTTAGTTTTTATTTTTTAGCTTTCCAGTTTGTTAGGTTGTTGCCAAGTGCCATCTAGCTGGTTCTGACTCATAGCGACCATGTGTAGGATTTCCAAGAAACAGCTTGTGGGTTTCAACTGCTAACCTTTTGCTTAGCAGTCCAGTTCTGAATTTATAGCCCACACCAAGATTGTTGTTGTTATGTGTCGTTGAGTTGCTTCCAACTCATAACGAGTCTGTATAGGGTTTCTAAGAAGCAGCTGATGAGCTTGAACTACCGACCTCGTAGTTCAAACCAACCTTGCAGTCCAGCGCATTAACTCTTAGCGCAACACCAGGACTCTACACCAAGATGCCAAGATTGATAGTCCCTTAATCAGGGTCTCTGTCATCTGACTCCTTCCTTCTATATATCCATTGATTTTTCTAAAGAATTAGTTTCATTCAGAAGCCATCAACAGTTCTTTTCCGTTGTCTGTGAAATAAGCTGTATTTTGTAAAGTACTTTCCCTGTTGCTTATGGAATAAATTTTATTCATTAAAATAATAATTCTTTAAATTGACACTCTTTGTTGTTCAGTGCTGTAGAATTGGTTCCGATCCATAGCGACCCTGCATAGGGCTTCTGAGGAGCAGCTGGTGAGCTTGAACCGTTGACTTTGTGGTTCAAACTGACTTTGCAGTCCAGCACATCAACCCACAGCTCCACCTCAGGACTCTCTGGTGGTGGTGGTTATGTGCCGTGGAGTCAGTTCTGACTGATAGTGAGTGACCCTGTATAGGGTTTCCAAGATTGTAAATCTTTAAGGGAGCAGAAAGCCTCACCTTTCTCCCACAGAACAGCTGGTAGTTTCAAACTGCTAATCTTGAGGTTAACAGTTCCACTATGCTACCAGAGCACTTTAGGACTCCCTATAACCATTATTAAAGGACTTTCTATAAGGTCTATGGCACTGTGGGTTAATGCACTGGATTGCAAGATCAGTTTGAACTGCAAGGTGACGGTTCAGATGCACCTTGGAAACCCTATACAGGGTTATTATGAGTCAGAACTGACTCGGTGGCACTTAACAACAAACATTAGGTATTTATATAGTGATTAATTTCTCACCCTTCCCCATAGGTATATCCTTTGTTCATCTCCCACAGTAAAACTAAAAGTGAATGTTACTCAGTCAGCAGAAGTGCTAAATATACTCAAACTATGTAGAATAATTTGCAAACTAGGTACAATAAGGTGATTAAAAGAAAATAATGATTATCTCTGGCTTTAGAATGTTTAGTATCCAATGTAGCAAAATCCCCTATACAATTTCTATAAAGGCATTCTAGAATTAACATTTTTTGGGTTATCAAAATATTTATTTAATTGAAAAAAAAAACAACAGTTCTTATGAAGACACTGTAGACTGTGGTATAAGATACATGTTGACTTTTTTGTTCCTTTTCTAGAGCCTAATTTTTAAAAGAAAACAAATTTTGGATAATTACATTGATTGAGCTCCTTGTTTTGCAGTTTTTAAAAGCATCATTCCTTTTATTATAAAAATGATAGAGATAGTGGGACACAAGATTATGCTGTAATTTTTGTGCTGATTTCTAAGAAATGTACACTATTTGAATTTGATTTTACTCTTTTTGTGCTATCTAGAAATGGGTGAACAGAGAGATATCAAATTTTGACTACCTCATTCATATAAATACAGTGGCTGGAAGGACCTATAATGACCTTGCACAGTATCCAGTGGTAAGTTTTTACATAAATCTAGTAAATATGAAATTGTCTTTCAGTTTTACAATGCACCAAATTATATGCACATGTTACTTAATTATTTGATTAGAAAAAATACATAAAACTGTTCTTGCCTTTCTTTATATTTTCTCCCATGCTATTTTCAAGAAGCATATGTACATGATTGGAGCAAAGTTGCTTTGTAGGATAAGCACAGAATTGTGAACCACAAGATCAGCAGTTCAAGCCCACCAACCGCCCTGTGGGGGAAACATGAGGCTTTCTGCTGTTGCTAAATTTAAAAGCCTTGGGAACCCTATACAGGGGATATGAGTCAGAGCTAGCACGACAGCACTTAACAACACAACAGCAAAATATAAACATGAAGAAGAATTTTTAAATAAAGGAATTTTTCTTTAAGCTTATTGAAAATATTCCAGGACAATTCTGGTTATTGAACTAAGAATGAATAAACATATGCATAGGATAAAAAGTATTTTTAAATACTATCACTTTTTAGGTAAACAATTGACATTAGATATAGGGATATTAAATACTATAGGAAGGAATATCTGAATTGTAAATTGTGGTTCTTTTAGTTTCCCTGGATTTTACAAGACTATACTTCAGAAGATTTGGACCTTAATAATCCCACAGTATTTCGAGATCTTTCCAAACCTATTGGAGTTGTTAATGATAAAAATGCCAAAGCCATGCGAGAAAAGTAAGTACGTTTTATTTCTTTTGAAAGATATACATGGCTTGTTTGAATTAATATTGATTTTTGCTATGACAGACCAAATGTTATTTTTTTGAATGAACGCCTATCAGAGTAAGATAATTGCTGAACTCAGTTTACTTTAAAATGTCTCAGTTACCCTTCAAGTATGTTCATTCTTAACTCCACTGTTACTGAGTTGATTCCAACTCATAGCAGTCCTGTTGTTGTTGCTGTGTTGTTGAGTTGCTTAAGACTTACAGCAACCTTGTATAGGGTTTTGAAGAGTGGCTGGTGAGTTTGAACTGCTGACCTTGCGATGCAAACCAACTTTGGGGTCCATTGCTTATCGCTACAGTGCCACATACCTGGCTCAGAGTAAATGCAGATCATTCTGTGTATTCCTTTCTTTACTAAATTTAAGTTGATATTACTCAGTGTTTATTTTCACCTTGTAATAATTTCTTCTAGAAGTTGTAAAATGTTAGTTTATTTTTCCAGATATGAAAACTTTGAGGACCCACTAGGAACTATTGATAAATTTCATTATGGTACTCATTATTCCAACTCTGCTGGAGTCATGCACTATCTTCTTCGTGTAGAACCGTTCACCGGCCTTCACATCCAGCTTCAGAGTGGAAGGTATGTTTTGGGTACATAAGATACTTTCCTATGACTATACTGTATGTTAGTGTTTAAGACCATTTGTCCCTATGCTTCTATTGTATAAGGGGGAGAACATTGGTTTTACATTCGTTCTATCATATATCATCTCATTGCCATGGTTACAATCCCCTCCATGCAATCCTTCCCCCATGCCCCCCAGGTCTTCAGCACACAGTCGCTCTCCCTCTCTGGATCTAAAGTCTCCAGCTGCTCCATTGCTCCACGTCATCATCTCTGGCTCCATTTCAGGCATCACTGCTTCTCTGGGTAGGGTCCCGCTCTCTGCTCAGAAGATGGTCCTAGGGACCTCCACTCCTAGACTGAAAAGTTAACCACTCCCCTCCTTGCTATAAAATGTCTACCTTTACATTTTCAACCCTCACAATCAGTCCTGATAACAGTTATTCACTATTGTATCACAAGAGACCCGTCATTGCATCAGCCCCGGCTAGTCAGATTGAATACTACTCACTGGAGGTTCTACCTTCCTCCAGGTCCTCTGGATCTAGGTTCCCTCTTGAAAGCTTGTAAGCCAGTCACTTCTTGCCTTTGTAGCCCCCCACCCAGGGGCCAAGTGCTTTTATACTTTCTTCTAGTAGGCATTGATTCACATAGTACCTATAGATAAAAATCGACTATGCCAAACTAGTTGAGAACTGGTCACTTGAGCTGACTTACACAAATGACTTGTAAGAATAATTCCTTTTTACTGTTAACTCAGTGTACCTTTGTGATTCTTACTGGTTTCAAGGACCTACCAGAGATTAGAGTTGGATATAATTCAGATCTAGATTCAAGACATCTGCTAGAGATTCAAACCTAACCAGTACCTCTGTAGTCCTGCTAAAAGTGTTTACTTAGCAAGAAGGAAGAATGAGGACGCTCACGTTGTCAGCAGCAGTTCAACCAAGTTTAGGATAGCATTGTATTAACATAGTGTCTATTACTATTATAGCTAATCTATTTTTTACATTTTCATAATGGTCCTAAGAAATAAACTTCTCCACTGTTCTCCTATTTGTCTTCCATGTGTCTTCCTACTTATTCATCTTTTGTCTCCATGTTGCTTATTCTTTTTTTTTTTTTTTTTTTTAAGGTTTTTATTGTGGATTGAGTGAAAGTTTACAGGGCACATCATCA